CTTGAAAGGTCAGTTAGAACAATAAAAGAAGAACAAGGAAATAACCCAGTATACATGATTTGCCGAGCGNTCTGCCCTAAGATTAAACGAACCCGGGACCTGTGGATCTGTACCCAGGAACTCTAACCATTAGACCACATATGCGGCTGCCGACAAACGACATTTCGAGGCGAGAAGCAACGAGGGCTGATACTAGGGAACATTAAGTTAATGCCGTACAGTAATTTATTAACAAATATATATGTATTTTTTTTTCCTTGGCACTACAGCATCAGTGGGCCTAGGCCTACCTCCATGAACTTCTCCGTTCACTTCGGTTTTTCTAGATCTTACACATTCGGCAGGACTCCTTGGGCGGGTGATCAGCTCGTCGCAAGGCCTCTACCTGTACACAAACATAGAAAAACGCACACAAACATCCATGCCCTGAGTGGGATTCAAACCCACGATCCAGCTTCCGAGCGAGCGAAGATAGTACATGCCTTAGACCGCTCGGCTACCGTGACCGGCAAATTGCAGATTAAAGCTTCTTTTTCTGTCTTGACGGATTAAGCTATCTGATCTATGCCAGGTCAGAACTAATTAATTCTGAAATCTGAATCTTACAGATAGTCGGTAGGACCCCTTGGACGGGTGATCAGCCTGTCTCAAGGCCACTACCTATATAATACAACATAAATGCAGAATGGAAGCAGATATTCAGGTTTCGAATGGGAATAGAGCCCACGATCCCAGTGTTTGAGTGAGCCAAAATGGTTCATGCCTTAGACCGCTCGACCACCGAGCTCGGCATTATTATAACTGTCAAGAAATTATTTTTTAAAAAGAAACAAAAACTTAAAAAAAAAAACTTAAAATTTTATATTTTTCCATTATGCTTATTAATGTCTGTACCAGACGGTACTGAAAAAAAAATATGAAAGCTTTTTAAAGAAATATATCAATCACTGTCTAAAATTTTACTTCGTTTGTATTTGCTTTTAAAAACATTGTACAAAAAACTTAAACTGGTGGATTTTGACAGAATTCAATAATACGGTATCGTACAAAAAAGTGGTAAAAGTAACCTTGGTAAGAAATGGGCATGCGCACCCCAACCATAAAATCATTTACAGATATTATGTCCCTCCACAAGAGGCATAACATGGACTCATAATGGGGAAGCCATGTCTGTCCCTCTGCACATTTCATCTTAGTAGAATTCGTTTAGGTTGCTTATTTGTGCGGGGGAGCCAATGAACTAAAAATTGTAGGTAAGGTAAAGGTAAATCTATCTCTGTAACTGATCGTGGAGCCCCATAGGGTTGTGAAACATCGATGTTCTCGCATTTTCTAGACAATCCGCTCGCAGATGGCGGTGAGCTTGTCAGCCTTACGCGCCGGCCACGCTTCATACCCCCAGGAAGCTTCCTGGTACTCATTTCTGTTAGAGGTTGAGTCGACCCCAGGGCCATAGTGCGCCTAGAAGGATTATATAAATTGAAAAATTCAATTACCTCATCGGGAATCGATCCCGAGACCTTCCGGCTTGTAGCAGAGTGCCTCAACCAACTACGCTACGGCGTGCCCCAAAAGTTGCAGTAAAGATTCATTTTTCATCCAGGTCTGGATAACACAAACCATGAAACTCAAATCATGCCTATTTTTTCATTTTCTCGAAAAACATTAGTCATCCAGTAAATTGGTATATGACAGAAATATGCACAACTCCATTAACACCTAAACCTGTATTTTAAAAATTTTCGATATGAAACAAATATTTACAAAATACAACGAAATTAAATGTGCATTTTTAGCGCAGTATATGCATGTTTCGGCCGGTCACGGTAGTAGTATATAATACAACGGCGGATCCATTTAGCTCACATGTAAATTTATGCTAAGTATGATGTTGTCACGTGTATGATGTGTGACTCTAGACGGGTTTTGGATTGATGACTCCATTTATTGCATATTTGGATACAACGCGTGACTTCACTTTACGCCTTACTATTACATACACACTCTAGTGTCCACTTCACTAGCCGTTGCTCAGTGGCGGCTCCTAACAGTTAACGTTCCCCTTCCTCTGGGTTTCCAAACTGTTCCTCGTCTCAGCTACCAGCTTCTAACAGCAACAGCTCACAATGACTGAACCGCAGCGGTTCTCTAACTCACTGACTCGTAATTTGTCCTGCTTATACCATCTCGGCACGAACCACGTAGAAAACAACGTTCCTCTGTTGCAGTGCAATTGTTGCTTAGCAATATCATGACGTATCCCATTGTTGCTTGTGCAGCCATAGGCAGGGAGCGCGCAGCAAACACCATTCATCTGTTGTTTACGAGACACTGCCTAGTAACAGCTGGTTGTTGTGACTACACTAGTTGCTTCGAGCGAATATGCCACAATACATTAATTATAACTATTAAGATGACCTGAAGATGGTACACATGTCGAAACACGTCGTCTTAGACAACTGTCCCATCTTCTGGAAGTAGTATTGTGTTGACAAAGTATAAAATGAATATTATCTACAGCGATTTACGGAACAGGATGTAACAAAATGTCAGTTTTAGATGTAACATTTCTTCATGAAATACACCGTTTTAAAGACAATGGCAATCAACTAATTCATGACTCTACACCTGCCTCAGGCTTGAAGTCCGTACTCCATTACTCAAGACAAACCTTCTTCTTCCGGCCAATTTTCCACTCAGCAGAATTATACAAGTTTGTGTAAGCGAATGACAACTTGTGCGTGTCTACCACATCTCCCTGGTCACGCAGGTACCTAGGGAAATTAGCAACGGACTTGAGGTGGACATCGCACGCACAGTAGCAGGAGCAAAAGCAAAGTTTTAGTCTCTCGAGAATCAAAGGTCTTGTCCGAAACACCAAAATTCAGTCTCTCTTTACGTCAATATATATAAGAACAAAATCCAAGTAAATAATAATCCCCCTTCCAAGAAAATTCATAAACTCATGCAGACAAAATAATGGTCTTATGTAATTCAATATTCACGTTTCTGTTCAGAAGACAGTAAGACAAAGAGGAACTTGGAACTCAATTCTGGGAAGCATAATAGCGCTACTTTTGAAACAAAGACATGTTGGGGTGTTTTCGAAATCAATACAGTAGACACTACAATAACTGAAGGCCACGCCATAGCTCAAGCGGTTATGGCTGGCTACTCACCGCGGCGACCCGGGTTCGATCCCGGGTCTGGTCAAGTGGGATTTGTGTTGGACAAAGTAGCACTGGGGCGGGTTTTCTCCGAGTACTTCGGTTTCCCCTGCCAATTTTCATTCCACCAAATTCTCCATCATCATAATAACCCGGGGCAGGTACATTAGGCCAATCAGTGGCCGAAGTGCCGAGTGGACCCAGCTGGACTCCACCACCCACTATGGGACTTTAGAAAAATAATAAAAAAATCACTAACAGTAATAAATCGAAGCTAATATATAACACCAGTTCCACATGGTCATCTTGCACGGATACAATATCACACCCAACGAGAACTCCAATGCAGAAATAATAATGATGAATTACGACGTCAAGCTGCATTAGGATAAGACACAAAAACTATATTTCAACCTATTGGATTGTTAGTATTCATAAACTATATAACTAAGACATACTAACAAATAAGAAATATCACAAGGACCACTGCTTACCATATAAGATAATATTCGAAAGAATTTCGATACAATAGCCACAGAGACATAACATGAAAGCCGCTTCCAATACAACACGGAACAAAAACTACACCATAACCAGTTCAACAATTTCATATTCGTTGAATATAATTAAGGCATTTTAGATGACAAGAAACATCCTAACTTATTTAACATTTTAATATTGAAATTATGACTAGCAAAAGACACTACACTAATGTGTAAAAGTTGTATGTGGTACAATACAAAATACACTCATATATATACATTGCTCAATGCACCGTCCGCGCTGTCTAAGACAAGAAATATCTTCGCCCGATCGAATGCTGGGATCGTGGGTTCGAATCCTTATCAAGTAATAGGTGTTTTCTGCGTTTATTCTGTGTTTGTGTTGTCCTATGTAGGTAGTGACCTTGTGTTCGGCTGAACCCCCGTCCAAGGAGTCCTACCGACTGTCGAAGGATTAAGAGATTGATGTGAAATGAAGCGTTTCACAGATGCCCTATGCTCCAAGTTGGAGCAACAGGAATGAACACATAGAGAGACAGACAGACAGATAGATGGATAGGCAGATGGATCGATGGATGGACGGACGGAGACAGACAGACAGATTTTTTTTATAGATTCGGAGAAAACCTGCCCCAGTGCCACTTTGTCCACCACAAATTCAACATGATCTGACCTGGGCTCGAACCCGGGTCGCGGCGGTGGGAAGCCGCCGACAAACCGCCTGAGCTATGTTACGGCCAAGGTAGAATGTACGGCATGCATACAGGGACGCAAGAAACAAATTTCAAATTCTTGTGGCGAAACCTGGCATAAAAGTTCGTTTAGAAAAATACGATAAGAATGAACAATTGCTATAAGAGTGAAAAATGAAAAAAAAAAAAGTTTGTGGTAAGGATGATAAACATANCCACATATACACGGTGCCAAATCCCAGAAGACTGCTTTCTTCGATGATAAACATGTTGGTAAAATTATTATCATGTGCATATCTTGTAACAGAATTTCAAGATGTAAAATTACTTAAGAACACGACGTAAGCCGACGTGACTTAGATACATATAAAGAGATGAGGTGCAAGGAAAAGCGACTTTAGTGGCATGGAAAGTGCTGTATCACCCATAAGCAAATATGAAACCTGTTTCGGGAACATGTGACATTACTGCACGAAGGGACCAAACAGTTTTCTGTACCTATGCAGTGTGCCGGAAGGAGCGAATGGATGACAAAGCAACGCCAGACGACCAACATGACTTGTCCGTTTTTGGTGTCCACATATATACCAGCAGCCAGGATGGACGCTGTATCAGTCTCTAACTGGCCGTCAGCCAGGCTTCTCACCGTATGTAGGCTACAGAACAATTTGCGTGCGGTAAGAATGGAGGCGCTCTTCCAGTCGACTGTCACTGCTCTACTCGGCTTCATAGGGGCCACTGTGCTGCTTCTCTATTGGTACTCAACTTCAACATTTGATTACTGGAAAAAGACAGGCGTGAAGTCGCTGAAACCATTACCACTTTTCGGTAACATCCAACATTTCATCTTACATAAACGGTCACCGGCCGAGGTTTTCCAAGAATTATATAATAAGTTTGAAGGTGAAAGATATGGAGGTATTCACCAGGCTCGAACTCCTGTCCTTTTAATTCGTGATCCCGAACTTATAAAGCATATACTTGTGAAAGATTTTTGTTATTTTCCTGGTAAAGGAAATCATCCGGACTTAAAAGGGGACCCACTTTCGTATCACCTATTCAATCTTGAGGGAGAACAGTGGAAATATATCAGAACAAAACTGACACCAGCATTTACGCCAGGTAAACTGAAAATCGTGTATCAACACATTGATCATTATTCCGAGAAACTTATAGAACATCTACAAAAATATGCTAAGAATAACGAGATTTTAGATATGTATGATATCTTGGTAAATTTCACCATGGATGCCACTAGTTCTTGCGCTTTTGGTGTGGAGGCAAATGCGATGGATGATAAGGATTCAGAATTCAAAAAAATGGGTCGTTCTATAATCCACGCCAATGGTAGTACGTTTATTGACATTTTGGAATCGATTTCTCCTAACCTGTTAAAAATATTCCGAATACGAACTTTTTCTCGTGACGTCACATCATTTTTCAAAATGGTTATTAAGAAGATTATGGAATACAGAGACCAAAGCCATGTAATAAAGAAGGACGTAATGAATTTGTTGATGCTTGCGAGAAACAAGACAACTGAAGAGGATAGTAACAAAGAGGAACCTCAAGCCTGCAAACAAATGAGTAACGAAACGTCATCCAACATCAGAGATGAAGGTAAGATCTAGAACCATCTACTTTACAGGTTAACCTTAGTGGAGGATCAATAAATATTAAGCTCTTCAATAAATTCCGGGTTTTTACGAAAACCTAAAATTCGCCATCACTATGCAAAGTTCGTAATTAGAGGAAATTGACATCTCCGAACCCTATTTCCCTAACATCACATTCGATGTTACCAATTGTCTCTCAGAAATGAAGATCCTAGCAATTTCTACAAGAAAAACATTTGATAAAATAAGTCCTATGAAAAACTGAGTAATATTTCCCAGGTATAAAATATGTCGGCTTTATTTAGTGTGTCAAATATTTTATCAATCCTATGATAAACTATTTTCTCCCCATTCATGAGATACGAAGCGTGGTGAGCATATTTTTTACGTATACACCTTTTTTGATGCTCTGTATCAAACTGTAACAACTCAAGGTCCTTACCTAAAACATAGCTACTAAAAAAATACTCTTTTTCATTTGAAGTTTTGTGTGTGTGTGTGTGTGTGTGTGAGTGTGTGTGTGTGTGTGTGAGTGTGTGTGTGTGTGTGTGCGCGCGTAATTATTAGGAGATAAGCAGCCGATGTCTGATATAAATTCAATCATTCTCTAGAAAAAAAAATACTCCGTAGTTTTATTCCGCAAGCGAACTATACCGAACGAGCAACCGCCGCTTGTCGGCGAAGAGGACAGAGGGTATCGTGTGGTCAGAGCAAAGAATCCCCACGGCCGTTAATTTCGGTTTTCTAAACCGGAGCCGCTATTTCCTTGAAATAGCTCCTCAACTGTCCTCACGAGGCTAAGTGAACCCCGTTCCAGACCCACTACTTCTCAGAAAATCTGGTAGCGCTGGGAATCGTACCCAGACCTGTAGCCAAGAACTCTGACCACTAGACCACAGAGGCGGTCACCTCTCTCTACATTTGTCTGAAATAAGATGAAAGAAATAACGTATACATTTATTTTCGTTTTTTATTTCAGAATTGAACAATTTTTTCAGCAGCCTATATTTAGTGTTTAACTTTTTCATATTTTCTTTTGCGAGAGAGGCTGGTGAATAGGATCACTGTTCTTCTTTTTTCTTTCATTTTCTGCAGCTTTTTACATAGGAATCATGAAATGGATAAAAGTGTTCGAGGAATTATTTCAGGATCCGGACGCTTTTCACTTTTGGAGATGAAAGACCTTCCTATATACTAACGCATTGTCGTTCGTAAAACTATCGACTATCAGCTCATGCAAAGCATGACTTACATCTGTGACTGAATACGCAATAAATGGGTAACCAACGAAATATGAGCTCTAATAAAGTATATGTTATAGGGTTCGATGATGTGGTGTTAACTGCCCAAGCTGCTATGTTCCTACGGGCGGGCAGTGAGAAAGCCTCCACCATCATGAGCTTCTGTCTGAACGAGCTGGCTCTCCAACCGGAATTGCAGTCCGAACTTCGAGCCGAGATTGAGGCAGCAAAAGAGGAACACGGTGGTAAACTGACATACGAAATAGTGCTAGGCTTGAAGCTACTGGACAGGGTTGTATCAGGTATGTACTTGTGATTACTGAACAACGTTATATCTATAGTAAGCTTATTTAGCTTTTAATCATATATACAGGATTATATTGAGCTTGAAAGAGTTGTATTAAGATACTACACAACAATTTGTCTGGAGGAACTGAGTATAACCAAGAAACCCTTATTCAGGATACCTGGGTCTACAGACGAGACTCGTAGCGTCAGAAATAAAAGGTGGACGGGCGACCGCTTAAATTAACTTGCTCTGTTCTCTAGATCAGTTCTCCCCGAACCAGATATGAAGATGATCACGTAAGAAAAACCTGAAGACTAACATATGGGGTACTGATCGCTGTCGGTTTCAGTAAGTTATAACGGCATTCACCTGAAGATACTGAGTAAAAGGACGTATAACCTTAATAAGAACAGCTTCAAATTCTTTCAGTAACTTTTCATAATAATGTTGCAACAAAAAACAAACTCCGTGGTTTCAGTCCGTAAGCGAACTATACCGACCGAGTGACCGCCGCTTATCGACGAACTTAGTGCTAACTTTAGCCGATAGAGAGTGTCGCGTGAAACTGGACTGTGCTGCTACCAAGTGATACAAATAAAAACCTATTACGTCCATTACAGCTGTTTTACTTCCATTTCTGACCTATTTACTGTCTCCCTCGTAGATACTACACTGGATATAGAGTGTGCTACACATGCATATTAGATATGCAGTGTGTAAGTGAATTTGTCCCTGTGCCCGAACACCAAAACATGAATGCATGCGGCAGAGATTAGTTAAGCCCTACACATTAACCTTATCACTACTGAAATTTGCTGGCCAGCTTCAAACTCCAGCAGTTTCAATGCCATAACAATCATTAAAATATATGCTAGCAACCAATTTTAGGAATTCGATTGAATCCTACTGCTAGTCTACAAGCGCCACTTTTATATATTTTTATTGTATTTTAATTATATTTAATTAGATATAGTTATTCTAGCGTTGGAAACTATCTAAACCGATATATTTAATACAGTCTTGTCGATTAATATTTCGTGAAGTCGCATTATTTTCAACAGTCTCCCGATTGTAAATGATTTAGGTTAGGTTAGGTTTATAATTCCGATGTAGAAGCATGAAGAGGCCCAAATTCATGAACCGTGTGACAGTAGTTTTTTTCACTATATTTCAAAAGTGATGATGACAAACAAAACAAACTCCGTGGCCTGTAGTCCGCAAGCGAACTATACCGACCGAGCAACCGCCGCTTGTCGGCGAAGTTAGTGCCAGATGATGGGGAAACGTAAATTACATCACGTCTTCCAATGTCCAAATGAAAGTCTCGATATGTTTAATATGATATGGATACATTACCTTGAAGAATATTACATGGCTGGAATGTGGTAAAAGAAGTCTCGGCTTCATATTTTGTTTTCACTACAAACACATTTCTTGGCTCGATATATCGAACGATATGATGTAAATAAAAAACAGATTTTTGACAGATTTATCCCATATCCCAACCTCATAAAATCAGCTGTGTCAAGAACAGTGTGAAAAAAATCATTGCAGTTGACAAGCTCAAGGTCAACGATATAGAAAGCCGAGTAAACAACCGCTGTGATTTCATTACAGAATTGGTTGATATTGATATTATACGTGGAGGTTTAAACCTGAATAGTGTATTATAAATTAATTGGTTTCTAGCTTTTATTTACTTTTATTGTTTTGAACAGGTTTCGTTAAGGCCGGTTGAACACTAAATTCGTGGGTTGGAATATCACTCAGGCATTCCTGTGTAACTTGTGCATGTTTTGTGTAGCACCGCATAGGCAGAGATACTGGAGTGGGCCGATCCACTGTCCAAATATTCCTACCAAATATAAAAGATTAATTCTTCTAGAATATCTTCTAAATCGAATTATTCTAGAGTATCTAATCTCTGACTGCTGATGGTGGTGCATGAAGATCCTTTCAGTATATCTAATTTATTCTCCAGTTTACTCACATTTATTAAATATTTAAAGACTCGTTCTAAAATGAATTAATTCTTCTGCTTCGACTGCTCTGCATTGGGAGCCATAGGTTACAGGTCTGACGGTCGGGTTTCGATTCCCTGTATGGGCAAGAGATTTTTCTCTGCTACACAACGTTCAGACCGACTCTTGGTCCCACCCAGTTTCCTGTCCAATGGGTACCGGGAGCTCTTTCCCCGGAGGTAAAGCGGCCGGGGAGTGTAGCTGACCATTCCATTTATTGGTAAGGTTAAGAATGATGGAGTTATACCTTCACCACCCCATACGCCTTCATTCCGTAATGCTTAATTAATTACGGGGACAACTCAGTGCTACGCATTACATTTATATATACAAATATGTGTTAATAAGGACATTCATTATTATTTATGAGCTGGGATAGCGTAGGCGGTATAGCGACTAGCTAAAGGCTGGACAGCTTAGGGGTTGGTGTTCAAGTTCCGGTAGGGGTAAGATATTTCTCTTCTCCATGTCCAGACCGACTCTGGGGCCCAACCAGTCTCATCCAATGGGTACTGGGGTCTCTTTCTCCGAGGGTGAAGCGGCCGGGGTGTGAAGCTGATCACTCACCTCCAGCTAGTGCCGAGGTCAAGAAAAGGGGGATCTATACATCCACTCTTTCATACGCCTTCATGGAGTAGTACTTAATTAGTTAAGTAGAGGAAAAATTTTACCTTTACTTTACTTTACATAATATAATCATATAAAACTGCTTCAGTTTAATAAACCCTATCTCTTCAAAGTACTATGTCGGTTATCACTTTCATAATGTAACTACGTGCATCAATAACAAAATAAACATTAATGAATACCCCTTTCCATTTCGTAACAATATGCTATACATGATTAATATATTGGTTATCAGCCGCTGGACAGCGAAACGCTTTAAAGCCAGTTAAATAACAGAGGATAAACTAAGCAGATAACAGCGAAGAGTACTGCCTCTCTGTGACGCCAGAGAGAGAACAAATCACCTTCACAATTTCCAATAATAGTGTCGTATTACTTGATCCATTGCATAACTGTATAAGGTAAAAGGTAACGCTATCCCTCTAACAGGCTGTGGAGGCCCATAGAGTTGTGAGACGTCGAGGCTCCCACTTTTTCCGGACAATCGGACTTTTTGTTCTTTCTGCTCTGCAATTAACGTCAACTCACTTAAAACAAAACATTAAACCATTATTATTATTATTATTATTATTATTATTATTCTGTCAATTACACCGAACCTAAAATTGTTAATAATATTTGTTAATGATACTCTTAATATTACTTGTGTGTATGGGGTCTTATTTTATTGTTCTCTCCTGTTAACGTTAACTTTAATTTTTTTTTGCATTATTATTAATCTATTGTCATTATGTAGACTCTCAAATTTTGTATTTGTTTTTTAATTATTTTTATGTAATTTGTGTACTCATGCTAACCTTTTAATTGGCCTCAGCGGTGTTAAGTTGTACGTAAATAAACATGAATTGAATTGAACTGAATTGAATTAAACTGTTGAGCTGCCACACGAATAAATAAGAATTGTGTTATTATTATTATTATTATTATTATTAACTTCTATGTGTGTATGTATGTGTATTGTCCCCTCTCACCACATAATGGAATAACCATTCGAAATGTACTTATTTTATTTGCTTACCTGTTAACGCTAACTTTAATTTTTCTTGGAATTATTATTAATTTAATGCCATTATATAGACAGTCTTATTTGTATTTTGTCTTTCAGTTATATCTGTATTTCTATGTACTCGTGCCAACTTTGTTATTGGCCTCTGTGCTGTTAAGTTTGCACATAAATAAACACGAATTGAATCGGTGACGTAGTTGGTTGATGCACTATGCTACAATCAGGAAAGTCGCGGGATCGAATCCCGATGGGGTGAATTTTTTAATTTTGCCTAATCCTTGAGCTGCACAATGGCCCTGGGGTCGACTCAGCCTCTAATAGAAATGAGTTATCAGGAATATTCCTGGGGGTAAAGGGCGGCTGGCGCTTAGGGCTCACAAACCTTACCGCCTAACGCAAATCCCAACATAACCTACTGTTCCATACTTTAACATGCAGTCAGAATTATTGGCTTTTTGGACTTTGCCTATGGTCCGGTATTTTAGAAACTAGAAAACACAACGTTTCGGAAACTGGACCTGTTTCCGTCCTCAGGTGAGGGAAGAGGACACCTACTCAGTTGGATCCTTAGAAATAGCTAACCTCAATCACAATCCACTAATTGAGGTTAGCTCTATCTAAGGACGCAATGAGTAGCTGTCTAACCTCAATTACTGGGTTGTGATTGAGGTTAGCTCTTTCTAAGGATCCAACTGAGTAGGTGCGTTCTCCCCTCACATGAGGACGGAAACAGATCCAGTTTCCGGAACGTTTTCTAGTTTCTAGAATACCGGACGATGGACGAAATCCAAATCCCCAGTAATTCTGAGTGTTACACACCATCGTCAGAACACTTCAGAATCTATTAACCTGTAGTGTCAGTAATATCTTACATCACTGCAAATATGTTGTTTCAGAATCACTTCGGAAATATCCACTGGAAGCAAATATATTTCGAGTATGCGGGAAACCATACAAAATTCCCGGTTCGTCAGTACAACTACAAGAAGGTACCAAGGTTCTGATACCGGTATATGCTATACACCATGATCCGAAATATTATCCTGATCCAGAAAAATTCGATCCTAATCGATTCACAGACATTAGTAAGAGCTCAAGGCAACAGTTCACTTACCTCCCTTTCGGCGAAGGACCCCGAATCTGCATAGGTAAGTGAAAAATATATATGTTCCACAACACGTTTCCGTGATTGTACCTATATGTTTTCTTATGAGTTAAAATTGCCATGGTTGTCCATATGGCAATACAACTGGATTTACACTGAACACTAAAAGACAATTCAAACGTGACGTTAGTTATGTTTCTTCTACAAAAGACACTTTATTTTCACGAGAATGATCCACTCCCCACACCATCACATGTTATTACACGGAAGAGAGACCCCCACTGAACTTATACTGAATCCTATTATGGAAATCACAATGTATTTCCGGCAAGACTGGACGCCATCTATGAAAGACACAGTACTCTGTTCAGATCCAAATGAATACGTATAGGTATGTAGTGCGGTTGGAAAAAATTAATAATACATTACAATTTTTCTCCCTCAAATTACAATAGATTCGTCAATATTTTGCATATTATTTCTGTATTATTATATTCTTATTACTATTTTAGTATTAGTATTAATATTAATCTTTGACTTGTCCCATATCATGTATAATGATTCATGGATGAAATAAAATTGAATTTAATTGAATTGAAACACAATGTAGTTTTATCAAAAGTAAAAAATGTAATGTCAACAAATTATGCTACAAAGAAACAAACATCCAGCCTTTATCAACACCTTCAGGATTTCTAATAGGAAATCTATATTTTAAAACTACAAACCTGTAGCTTTAGATAATGCACTTCTCAATCGATATAGTAATTAAATTTTAAACCGAGATATAGGACCGTTATAATACAATGTCAAACAATTACTATGCAGCAGTGTAGCCCACCGCCGTCCATTAAAAGGCCCAGACATCAATCACATATCAATCAATACACAGAACTACTGAATGTACTGAATTATGTGATTACGTCACTGAACTAGGACTTTTGTTTACAGCTTTCCATGGGAGTAACATTTTACTTCCATTAGATTCCATAGTAAGACATGAAAAGAGAATATACTGCTGTTCCTTGTGTTATTTATTGACACTCTTTCAAACACAAAGTTCAGCGTTGAATCAGTTCAGGAAACTAAGATGAGTGGTGAATTGGTAAGGATATAGAAGAAGATGGTCGTTGATTAATTAAAAATATTAACCAAGCATTACTTGGAGAGACTGAAGAAAATAACGAATACCCTCAATCAGGACGGCAGATGTCTGCCCAGGATTTGAATCGAGTACCTTCAAAACATATGAGCTTTAGGGCTCGGTAAAACAAAAGACCTCAGTATTACAGACACTGCATATGTATACAATAATCCTCATGTGAGTCTTTACATATTTCACTCTTCCAAATGACATCTCATTGTAGAAAAATAGTACATTAAATAAAATGTTTACTTGATTGAGGCTTAAAACTTTATCTGAAACACTTTCCTGTGTCTATTTAACGTAACACAAATATTTATAATTCTTTGCACTGTGGTATCTGTAGTGTAATTAGTTTTGTGCCATTAGAATTGTGTCTACAATGAATTGCCATCAAGATCCACTGCCAACTAACCAAAGACGTCATGAGGCACAGCCCTTCATTATAAGCCGATATTCGCACAACTGGTCAAAAATTTTCCTCTTTTTATAGAACGTGAAGGGTTATTAAAACCTGATAACATACACTGTCTGTTCTAAATGCATTAATCCAATTCTCTTCCAGGTTTCAGGTATGGTATGCTACAGGTTAAGGTAGGCCTAGCCGCCCTGTTGCTGCACTATGAATTTAGAGCATGCCCGATGACAAAGGCCCGTCCAGAATTCAACACTTGTTCTTGGATCACTTCTCCAGCCAATGGAATGTGGCTGAAAATCCATTTGAGAAAATGAAAATCATCAAGAGCAACAAAAGCCTATCTTGCAGCTGAGAAAACAAGCTTCATAAATAAGCTATTTGCATGCAGTACTCAATTTTTGAAACTAGATTTGTAATAATTAATTTTTATTTAGCTTCATCGGTTGGCGTTGTCTACGGGCTGGAGGACTAGGACAGGTTGCCAGCAGAGACAGAAATTTCTCACTTCACTATCATGTCTGGACGCAGACTTGCACCAAATTGAGCCAAGCCTCTTTTCCTGAGCGCAAAGTGGCCTGAGTGTGGTGCTGGTTCTTTATCTCCTTCTAATTCCAAGGTTAGGAATGTGTGGGGCCTTATTTCCACTCTCTCTCTTATATACTAATGGTGCAAGGAGCATAATTATAAGGCCAACTTTTCCTTTACCTTTATGAGTCTGGATAATATTAATTTATTGCCATTATATAGACTGTCATATTTTGTATTTTTTCTTTAATTATCTTTGTGTATTTCTATGTACTTGTGCTAACTTTGTAATTGTCATCTGTGCTGTTAAATTAGCACGTAAATAAACAGGAATTGAACTGAATTGAATTGAATTGTATATCCCCTGAAAATTTGTATACATTTTAGTGTGACACAACAATTAAGTTGTGATATCTCAAACAACCTCTAAAATATGTATCTTGTGATAAACATATGGGTCTCAGACTGTGTGTATTATGTGTCTGGAATGAATGTGATTATGTTTTTATTATGCATTGAAGAAAATAACTACAAACCATCATTTTATGTGAACTGCTTTGGTACATACAGCCCATAGACCTTACTAATATTAAATTTGTATTGCATCATGTTATCTTATAAATGTATACAAAGTATTTATGTAATTGTATTGTATTTCTCTACTATACTGCTTTCAGTGCAATAGAATAACCACAGACAATTATTTTGCAAAAATTGTTTTGATTCATTTAGTCACTAGACCTTACTAACATTAAGTCTACAGTGCATTTTGCTCTCTCATACCTGATCAATAAGAAATGGAGCTTCTTTTTGGTCAACCCTAAAAGAAAAAGGTTACCTGAGAAACATAACATAATATTAAAATGCATTTTGAAGAACCAAGGAGCAAGGATGTGAAATTTACTCATCTAGTTCACGATAGGGCCTACATGTTCAGAGTAATTAACTTTCAGATTACATAGAATGTGATGAATTTCTTAACAAGCTGACCAAATTTCAGGTTCTCAAGAAGGTCCCTGCTCCCTCAAGCTAGTTAATTACAGTTGTAGATATTAATTATATATATCTGAAGTTAAATAAACTAATACGCTTCAGATAGAAAATATGTTTAAAGGTTTACAAATTTCATTTAATTATTGCAGTAATTAACAATATAATGTGACCAGTAGAATTAATGTCATTAATGATGAAACTTGGTATACTTGTTTACATATCTTGCTGCTCAGTCTTCTAAGTTATGGCCTCATTACTGTGTGTGCACATGTGCGCAGTGTACATACATATTCATTAACTTCAGAAATAACAAAAGCTAATTTGTTTCTTTAGTTTTCAATTTTCCTTCCTTTAATAAGTACAAAATAACATTTAAATCTTCATCAGGAGTACAGTATATTTTGACATGAATTTCTAAACTGTTGTATCTGCTGCTAAATGTTTGTCCAAAATTTTCCAAACTAGCTTCAAGCCCACATATCTGATTTGCAAAGTTCACATGAGTTCCAAATTTCTGGAATGTTTATGAGAGATTTTCTTATTTCTTAGAGATACTGTATCAATTATTAACTTTATCTAATATCAGTAACATAGTGACAGCATCATAAAATATCAACATATGGGTGCCTCATCCCAGCACAGATCCAAGTCTGGAACATAGGGAGATTTTGATGTGCTCAGCACAATTTCTATTATACGCAGTTGACACATGTTTCAGGAAATATTTTGATTTGTAGGTAATTCAGTAGAAAATAAAAATATAAGATTGAAGTAGATTCTTTATTGCAAGATAGAAGGAAGAATCAGCATCTATCATAAAGGAGGCCAATATTCTTAGAGGACCATACAGCCAAGGTTTAAGTACATTAATAAGAAAACAAATTATACAGACACTGTAGATTATTCTGTTGCATATTAACATCAGAAAGAACAAATTAAAATCTGGTTTCATATAACTTCAATATAAACAACTACTTACATATAAAACAGTATCAATTTCTGAAAGAATTTTCAGAATAAAATTTTAGAATTTCCTCATATAATATTACTGTGTACACTTACTTAAGAGACTTTTATGTTAATATGTTTATTTACATAATTATTGGTCCATAATTTGCCTCCCTCGCCTCATCTTCACATTGAGACTTCATAATTAGGAACATATTGTCTACATCTGTAATATTTACAAACAGCTGATCATCTACATGTATAACTTAAATGACTATATTCAAAGCTACTTGCAATTAAAATATGGCCTAATTAATGATTCATCATATGTTGTCAAGAAACTGAGAATAAACACACACCTTAAGTTTACAGTGTGTGATCCAGCAACTCGGCAAATCCAGGATTCTGAGGTTAAATTTCAAAAAGGCAAACCTATACAGCAGGACTTTGTGTGGGTTTAACAAAAAAAAAAAAAACTTTCCCCTATTTGTTTCTTTTTAATCTTTCAACAGTAGAATTATATCTGCTATTAGTAAACTTCTTGACCCATGAGGATTAAAAACTGCAAAGAAAGAACTTTCACGATATGATTGCTTAGGACTGAGTACAGGCTTCTGCTCTATTTTTATACACAAATCAAATTAAGAATTCTGCAAGATATTATATTTCGTTTTCTGTTTGCATGTCATAAATACTGCATTAAATGATGGCTGTTAAAAATAGTCTTTCTTGTTCTTTATCTCCCGCCAGAAAGTTTGTAAACAGTTAATATAGTTTTGCAAATGAAGTGCAAGAATATAGCAAGTTATTTGGCGAACAATTTATCGTTAAATCAAATTTTGGCGCTCACTTCTCTGTTTCATAATTCTACCGCAGAACACCGCTCTAGTTCAGTTCCGTTCAGTTCCGTTCTTTACTAAAAAGTGTGCTTCCGGTAAGTTTCATTCGTTCCCTCCGCAAAATGGTTGAACCGCATGGAATAAGTGGTGTTGGAACGAAGAAGAAACGCGTTTCTAAGAAGAATAAAAAATCGTGGAGAAAACATGTGAACACTAAAGATGTAGATTCTTTTCTGGATGATAAGAGGCTTGAAGAACGACTTGGGTGTGTTTTGTGATCGATCCTGACAAAATAATAAGCAGAGATGTCTTCACATAACCTTATTTATCCTGTCAAATTTCAGAACTCCGTTTGCTGACCGAAAGGATGACGAGTTATTCCAGATCGACAGAGAACCAGATGGACAGCAGGCACATCATTTTATCGGACGTGCAAAGAAACCGCTGAAGCCAGTAAAATGTTTTGCCATTCTTGAAGAACGCTCTGCAGTACCCGATCCCATAAAAAAGAGGTTATATCCTGGTCAGTTAAGTAGATGTATTTTTATTATTGCACTGCCCATTTTAATTGCGTTACTTGAATGCTTATAGAAACCGTGTACGAACACCAGAGGAGAGAAAGCACCTATTGCGAAAGAAAATTGAAGAAGACAGAAAAGAGCGGGGTATTCTCAACAAGAAACAGATTATAGCTCACAGAAACCGAGCCACAGCCAATGCAAATAAAACTAACAGACCAAAGAAAGGAGAATTTAACGTTGACTTATGGGAAGGTATTTATATTTTTATCAAATATTTGTACTCATTTCAAAGGTAACGAATTTATTTTTAATTTTTTTTACCATCCATCATGCAACATCATCATCATCAACATTTAAAATTAAACTTTTTTTTTTTTTTTAATTCGTCACTGCACTACGTTTTGGCCTACTTGCCATCCTCAGGTGCACTGAAATTCAGTGTTTGTATAAGCAGTGTTTTTAATTGAAGTGAGTGTAGTTACTCCATCAATGCTACACATATTGTCTGTTTTGGTATGTCTGTTGTCTATCAAGTGTGCAGTGTGGATGTAGTGTAGTGACAAATTAAAAAAAGGAGTTAATTTTAAATCTTCATTTTGTTAAATGGTGGACGGCAAACAAAACTGAAAAATAAATTCTAATACCAACTGCAACAGGATGCTAAGATACAATAAAATGTAATGAGTTTCTGATGATGTCAATCTCAACAATTGAAAATTAAAACATTTTTAAATAATAAATACACCAAGAATGCACCAACAAGTTAATTTCAGTTTTGTTACTTGTAACTGTACAAAGACATCCATGCCATAATCTGCATATTTATCAAATGTATCATTATTGTTGCAAGAAGTGTTGTAGGTTGCCGGCTCCAACACATTCATAACACGTGTCAAATTCATAATTAGCAATCTCTGACATTCTCAAAACCAGGTGAAAAGTGTCATGAATGACAGTGTATTTGACACTGAATGATAAGAACTTTCTCTAGTTAAATACTTTAAGTATTTTGAACCTTACTTTTTCGATAAAAGCACTATAGGCGCACTCTCTGAAACTCTGTGCATTCTGTCATTCTTAGAAAAGCAAAATATCCTTTATTTAAAACATGTACTGTAGAATTACTGCCTCCCAAGGTCTGGGCAGTTGTATGTTTGTACTGGTATTAGAATCCTCTTTCCAGTGTGCAATAAACTGTATTATTAAAGATTTTGGTGGAATTTGTGTGTTGCAGATACTGACAATGGAATTGAATCAGAACATGATGTGGAATGGTTGTCTCCAACAACTAAGTATCACATATTAAAGAATACTGGAAAAATGAATAAAAAACTTCCTGACAAATTCCTGACAAAGCCATATGGAATCCCTGCAGTAGAATCACCCCATCCTGGTATGTTCTTTATTGTTAAATTTGTAGAAGAGATCAGAACTTTGCTTTTGCGTATCAGCAATACTGGATACACTATCCTCCTTCCTCATAAAAGAAGGAAAACCATTAATATTAAACTAAGGATCACAGAGTGAATCACAGCATTTAGTGAACAAATAAAATATGATACAGGTGGAACTGAACTCTCCACCAATGACAGTTGAATGCTTTTGATATACTTCAGAATAAAAGAAGCATAGATAATGTAAGCGGTGTCAGAAGCGATCGTGTGAATTATATTTGTCAGATGATAAATTCCAGAATTATAGAACTGCTGACTTCCAATGAGGAAAAGTGCTGAAATTATTCATCTTCTGTTTTATGTTCCATGTTCAAGTGTCATTTACAGGGGACAAAACAATTTCCACACCAATCCTATTAGCCTTGTGTAAACCAGTATTTCAAGATCCCATTACAATAGTGACTTATGCTGAACATAAAGAACTTAATTCTGTCTGGCTTTTAGGTATGTCCTACAATCCATCTTACAGAGATCATCAGGACTTGCTACAAGAAGTGGCCAACAAAGAATTGATGCTCATCAAAGAAGAAAAACATTTGAAGCGTGTCACTTCCAAAATGTTTTCACGTGTTACAGAAGATGAAAGAGAAGTACATAGATTTGTAAAACTGCAGATTATTATAAAGGAATGCATTAAGTAATCTGATGTGAGATTTGTGTACATTTCCCGATCTCTATTTGCCTAAATTTGGTTATAAGAAATTACAGTATGCAAGCCATTGAGATTCCTGTCAACCATTTTATTATGGCAACAGATTAAATTCTAAAATATCATAAATATACTGTATCATATTTTACAAAATTTGTAACAAGACTGTTTTTCAAGACAACTTATAATTGGTGCATACATTTCCCACAGACAGATCTGTATTTCAGTCTGTGCATTTGCTTTGGATTGTGAACTACATTTCCACCAGTTTTCTCTCTAATATTTGATAGAAGTCATTCGTTACCCACTACTCAACAATTCCCACAAATATAGTGTTAACAGTTGTTATCATGTGTTAATGCTGGCATAAACAAGACATGAAAAGGTAAGTCCCTGTACTTAATTACTTAAGCACCATGCCAAGGAAATGTAGGACGGTGGGGTATAGCTCCACTGTTCTTAACCTCAGCACTAGATGGAAGTGAATTGTCAGGTTCACACCCCTGTTGCTTTATCCCTGGGGACAGAGCCCCCAGTATCCATTGGATAGGAGGCTGGGTGGGCCTGAGAGCTTGTCTGGATGCTGTGGCCTAGAGAAAAATCTATTGTCCCTGGTGGAAATCAGACCATGGCTGTCCAGCCTGTAACACACAGCTATCCTAGCTCTAAGCAAGATAATTAACATTATTTATTTTGTTTTACTTGGTAGAGTATGAGGATGAAAGAAATGTCAGAGGGTCTTCCCGAAGCAGAAGGAGATAAGACAAAACAGGATGTAGAGGATGGAAGTGAGAATGATAGTGAATGCAGAGCCATAAACCCTCCAGCTGAAAATAGAAAGAAGACATTAAAAAAGAGAAGAAAGTTAAAGGAAGCTCAGCTGAGAGAACAGCAGCGAAATGAAAGCCGCTCAGAGAAGAAGAAGATTTCTGATATATACAGGTAGCATTTTGCTTGATGTTAATGTAGACATGTCTCCCATATATAATTATCATCAGCAATCAGAGAACTGCATCTTTTAATTCAGTCCAACTTATTTGTTATGCCTCGTCCCCTTGGGGGTAGATGGAGGCAACAGCTTCTTCCAAAAAATCAACATCCATCCACAAGACTAGTGTCACCCCAGAAGACAACAGTCTGAATTAGTCAATCTTACTTCATAATCCTGCTATCCCATTTTGAGAATATGACCAAATATTGTGGTGACTCTTTTCATATGTTTTGGAAGTTCCTAGATTGGCCCGGAATATAGATGCCCTGGCACAGAAATACATAGTATTTGGAAGTCAGTCAAGGAAAATCACAGGATAATGTCTGAAACAGGTTATGACTCTTTCTTCCATATGTTTCCTGTTAAGATTTTAACAGCTATGTTTCAGATCCCCCCTCCGAGTTCATCATTCATTTCAGGTACATGCATCTATGTCCTGTCTGTGTCTGCTACTAATCTGAATGTTTGGATTAACAGTTACATTATGTGAAGACTGAGGTATGCAACATGATTATTTCCTCAAACATGGCTCTAATGGCGTTGATTAACCTTTAAACGACTAAAGACACCGTATGTCGTCGCAGATATAAAGGCAGCGGTACGAATGACGCCATGTGGTGTCGCAAAGTCCGCGCGTGCGGACGTTATTTGAAATACATTTTTAAGGTAGAAAATAATGTCCTACTTATATAATTTTTGGCCACCATCTGCATGGA